ATTAACCTCACTATAAAGATTAGATATCAGTTTTCATAAGATTAGCTACAGCTAATGAATCCACAAAAGCTTATGGGAAGTAAATCTCATCACTTTGCTTTGGCCATAGTAAACAGCAGCAGTGGTAAGGAGTGGGAGGGCAGCAGCTTGGTTCATAAATGCATAGTCTTTTTTACTGTCTCAACCTCAGAATCTACAGACGGCAAATGAGGCAGCAGCTGGTTTTACTGCAAGTCCACCGAATTACATAAAGTATGTAGTGGTGAACTGAAACAGCAATGAAATAAGCAACATCAGCTTTAAAGTGATTATCAAGCCTGGGGTGAATAAAAAGACCTTTATGATACCAGTGAGAAGAATATGCAGTCTGCTCTTTTTAGCTATGTGACGGGGTATAACTTAGTTGGCAGATAACGGCAGCCTGTGGTGTGCGGGCTAGTGGGATTAGTCTTAGCTGAGAGTTGCAACTTGCTGCTGCCAATAAAAAAAGTTTACTTTCAATGTTGCCTGGTAACAGCCGCGACCATAACTGCTCAGTAGCTGCACCTAAAGGCCCATAGTGCAACAAAGTGGGAGACCTTAATGTGGGAATCCTGGTCTAGTGTTGTATGACTCACTGTCTAAACGTAACAACTGCTCTGCTCTGATTAAAAGTCAACCTGTGTACATAAAATCATCATGTTTAAGAAAGTGTAAGAGTAAAATGCTAAAGACATTCTAAAAACTAGTAATAGTAAGTGAATTCATCAAACCCATGTTTTGTGTTGTGTATTTTAACCTGTGCTTTGTCCTCTCTCCCTCCCGTTACCCCTAACCAGTCACTGCAGATGGTCTCCAAGGGGTTCCATCAGTTTAAAGGGAGTTTTTCCTTCTCACTGTCACTAAGCGCTTGTTCAAAGAGGGTAGCTTGATTGTTGGGGTTTTCTCTGTGTTATTGTAGGGTTGTTACCTTACAAAATAAAGAACCTCAAGGTGACTGCTGTTGTGATTTGGTGCTATATAAATTGAATTGAATACAAATAAAGTAATGTTATAGCAGTACAGCAACATACCTTCTAGACTTGTAGTCAAGACCGCCTAATCCAAGACCAAGACAATACCAAGACCAGAGGGTATCGAGACCAAGACAAGACCAAGACAGACCGAGTCCAGACCAAGACAAAGTCGAGACGAGACCGAGACAAAAAAGTCTTTAAACTGCAGCCAGATGCTGCTTCGTTTACAGGTGTCAGGCATATTTATGTGTTTTTGTGATGCACTCGCACAGCCCACCTCACCGCTGTCTACTGCCTCACTCACTTACTGAGAGGACAGACACACGCTCCACTTGACTGTCGCGTCTCTCACCCTCTCTGTTTTTCACATAATGATATTATCCTATATCCT